TCCCCGCCTGCGCCCATACTACCTGTTGGGGGGGGGGGCTTTGCCCCCCCAACCTCCCTCATTGGGATTATATTTTTGTTACTTTTTTTTGTTAATAACTTTTTAACAAAGAATGACCGCCGATTAAAACCTTTTGATAGTCACTCAGGGTCATGACCTTGACAACATATGTCAAGATTAAAATCATTGGAGGCCTCGTATAATGAATAATTATCATTAATTTTTATAACGTTTTTTATTAATAACTTTTTAACAAAGGACGACCGCCTGATATGACCTTTTCAGGGTCACTCAGGGTCATGTCCTTGACAACATATGTGAAGGTCAAGGTCATTGGAGCTGGGTCCGTTGTTATCAATATTTACCATTTATTTTACTGTCATTTTGAAAACGTTGCATTTTTATAAAGATTGAATTTCATATAAAATGTTGATAACTTACGAGTTCGCTTTTCTTCATCCGTAGTTGTATTCACATCATTTAATTCATCCTTGCGCTGCTGTATCATCTGTTTAATAATAGATTATGTAATAGACATTAAAATATATAATTCAGAATATTAACAAACATATTTACCTCATCTACAAAAGAATATAACAAATTTATTTTTTGTTTTTGTTCACGTCCCAAAGCAGTGAGAAAAAACACATTGTCAAAAATATATATGTACATTTTTACAAATCTAGATAAATAAATACTTTTTAACCTGAAACATTTTTTTTAATTGCAATTTTTATATATAAAGCATAATTATAAAAATATACTTATTTAATTGTTTTTATTAAGCTTTATAAGTAGAACTAATTAAAAAAAAGATATCTCTTTATTACATTGTAATGTATTAATTTATTTATAATAATTAAGTTTTTTGAGACTTCAAATGACATTTATCAAAGATACAGTTTCTTTGTTACTGTAACATTTATATATTATATTTAAATTAAATTATTTATATTAAAAGTTTATTTCTTTTAATAATTATAAAATAAACAAAAATTTTCTTGATGCAGCATAATTTATTAAAAAGGTGATTTATAAAAATTTTGTTCTCAAATATTTTTCGATTTATTCCTATTAATAAATACATGATTTACATCACAAGTGTGAGGCAATTTACATACAAGAGTATTTAAAATTAGAAAAAAAATATTACATACTTCTGCAGTGCGTTTACAGCTTGAACGTT